TAAGAATTGGTTTTCTAAATTCAACATGATCTTTGATTTATGAAATATGGATTTTTTAAGATATTTCAACAGGTAATGAACACTATTTTACTTATAAAAATTCTTTACACTTGATAAAGGCCGTTTATAATATATTTTTAAATTTTACTCTAGTATTTAAATTTTACTCTAGTGTTATAAGATTATCTTCGTATTAGGGGATTCTACAATTATCCATGATTTGTAGTACTAACTCAACTGATTTATGTCTATTCTGGCAAAACATTGCTTAGTTTTTCAACTACCTAAGTGTTTTTGTGTGCGGGATTGCCTTACTAAAAGGGTAAAAATCATACCTTGTCAGCTAAAATGGATGTTGCAAGTTAAACAGACATAAATAGGCAATATTGAATAATAGTGTATATATAGCCACATTCTCGCCCAAAACCTCTGTTATTTCTGAAGAATAAGTTTCATTCTGATTTGCATGAGGATTTCCTGTAAAACCAACTGTGTAATCCCCAACAAACTTTTAGCAGTTCCTGAAACAGAGATGAAACACACAAAACAAAACAATGTAGTGTGCATCTTTCTTTCTGAAAGTCTTAGACTATTCATAGCAGTTCTTGATACTAGCACTTCCAGTTTATTCAAATAAACTGTCGTATGCTTATTTCAGTAATTATATTACTTTTAAAATGTATTTTGTATTCACTAAAGCAACAAAAATAATTTGGGGTGTTAGTTACAAGGTCATGCAATCATACTTTAATTAAGATTGCAAACAAATAAAATATAGAATTGCACTCAAATACCTTCCCATATAAGTTTCTGTTTAAAAGCATTGTTTAAAAGCTGAAGAGAGTTAAAAAAAGATTCCACTAAATAAAACTGATAGATTTAAAGAAAAGTTGAGAGTGTAGTTTTCTCCTAACCTTTCAGTCAGAAGAGCAATTTTTTCAGTACAACAAACAATTTCATAATAATAAATGCAGAATTACCAAAAACTCAGTTATTCTGACTTCATTTCTTAGTAATATTTAATGGACTTTTACAATACCAATCCCCCAAAATGGATATAGGGTTTTAAATAAATATAAATTAATGAAGACATTTTACACCATAAAAACAATGTGGATTATTCTCTTTGTTGATACAAAGTGAAAATAAAATGTATATTTAAAACAGAAACACTGAAGTATAAAATGTCTCTGGTATGAAATTGGAACAATAAATATTTTATGGTTTTTTTCAAAAGAAGACCAAAAATGGCCTTTTTCACATCCAATAGCATATTCTATTTTTCTGAATTTTAACTGTTTCACAAAGCAAGTTATATGAAGCAACTTTTATGGCTTTAAAATCTATTGCAATTGTTTTAAAGTTCAAATAGTATTTAATTAATCAAATCCAAGCAAGCAATTTTTTTCTGGGCAGAAAGGTTTGTTGTGTTACTCATTATTACTTATTGCTTTTCACACTAAATTGTGTTTTGAAATTCCTGCCTGAAATCAATTTTTTTTCATACAGAAATCTTATTTTAGGTCATTTTAAAGGTTTATAAGTCTCTTCTAAGCCCTGGACAGTAGGACTAAATTACCTGGCCTTACAAGAAAAGAGAGAAAAGAAACACTCTCTTAACACTTTAAAACATTCTCGAAAATATTTCTGAAATCACAGCTAGCTTTGTAAAATGTGGCATCTTCATAATGTAAAATGGTGTAACATTAAACATTGTTGACTCATTCAGTTTGGTAGCATAACACATTTATGTTTTCAGTAGTCAAATATACTGAGACCATTACAAATTCATGTAGAGAAAACATTTATAACATATAGAACCATCACATACATTCTTGAGCTGGGTAGGCAGAGTGCTTTGAGGAGGAGTTTTATGAACTGTCTGCAGTGGTTCTTAATGAAATATTAAAGTTGCAGATTTCAATACAGAACAATTGCCATGGAAATGAAAATCCCAAATAGCAACATTATTCCTCCTGCATCCATTAATAAGTTGTACACTTAAGTGTTTAAAAGATTGAGTGTCTGGTCAGGCAGCCTCCAAAAATAGGGTTCCAGTAGAGTCCAAGCTAGAATTTTAAAATATCTAGAAATCTTTTTGGAAAGGTGCCAGCGGGTATGTGACTCCTCTTTCATGCAGAGAGGGGGAGAGAGAGATTTTACATCCCATGTACCTGTGGATTTGAATCTGGTCTAAAGTTGTTCAGGAAAAAAACAGTTCAGTAAAAAGGTCAAGAATGTTAGTTAGAACATTCTAAATATTAAAAAAATGAAAAAGAGGTAATGTCCATGTAGTTATGATATTATGTCAGTTGTGCATATCTAAAATTATTGTTTAAAAGAAGTTTTATGTATATTTAGATTTTTAGCTCATTTTATTACATACTTTAAGTTCTGAGCTTTCTAATTTTTGCTAGGATTTGTTCTAACAAGTTGTCACTACCTTTTGCAAAATTAACATTACATTTAACAAAGTTTATTGTATAAGACTGCATATTTAATTTTAAAAAATCAGATTATAAATCAGGTTCCTGCAGATCCTTCAGTGCTTGCATGGATTTCTGTGAAAATTGGTACACAGGAGACACAACTTTGTTAAAGGCTTCCAGATCTCCATTGGTGTAAGCTGACCCTTCTGGCAGATGAAGCCAGGGACCTCAGTCTTTCTCAGCATCCTCATTCCAAGTGATGCTTTGAAACCACTCAGGAACAGGGATGGAGAGTGCCAATGTATTAGTCTTCCTCTTTGGCATGAACCATTGAATCCATACCCCAAGCTTTGTTTCAGCCAGGGGACTTAATGACAGCTCAGAGGACCCATGAAATTAAAAAAAAATTACAACAAAAAACTGTTTTCTGTGCATGTCTCTCCGACCCTAAGTCTTTTATCTTATGTACATAAAACTGCTAAGTCAGCTTCAGCAGATCAAGACCTAGGTACATAACATCCTATATACCAGTGTTTTCTGCTGGTAAACAGAAGGAATTGTTATGCATAGCGCCCTTTTGGCAAAAGAAGTGAGAGATTCTGGGTCTGCCCCGCTCCCCCCGTGGCCTGGTGGGCTGTAAACTCCAGAACCGCCCAGCGGTTCCCAGACGCATTTGGTGGAATGGAGCAGCTAGGGCCAAGGAAGAGGGTGAGCTGCCGATGCCTGGCCTTTCTCACTTGCAGTGGGAGAGCAGATTGGCATCTGCATTTTTCCGTGGAAAATATTTCCTCAATTTTCTGCAACCCACTTTGCCCAAAGCCTTCCCTGCCTCAGCAAAGCGGTCAGCCTCGAGCTGCGTCCCCCCCCCGCCCTGCGGGGTAGGGGCTCCTCTTGACCGTTTTGGCTTGCACAAAACCGCCCCCCGCCATGATCTCGCAAGCCTTTATTGGGGTGGGGTATAGAAATCTAATCAACACAGTAAATAACTGCTGCATCTGATACATAACTCCAGCAACACAATAAATAATTGCTGCATCCTATTTGGTCTAATAAAAGGTATCATTTCTGAACCAATTTTTGCACCTGAGTAATGAAACTCTTCCTGCAAGGACTGGCTCTCCTGGGAGATTGGTGCATGGAAAGTCTCAAGCAATGAAGACTCAGCAGTATTGATTCCCAGCTTGTTTGCACAGCGCTTCCCCTCCTGGGCCATCAAGCATTTTGGGTTGGGTTGGGTTTTTTGTTTTGTTTTGTTGTTTGTTTTGCGGGGGTGTTACAGGCAAGGCGATGCGGCAGGCGGTGTTCGTGCAGCGCCGAGCACTCGGGCAGGGCGCACGGGGCCGGGTGGGTGGGTGCCTGCCTCCCGCCGCGGCGACCCTCGCGGTATGCGGCCGCCTTTGGCAGAGGCACATGAAGGATTTCATTGAGTGTGAAGACAGAGAGCAGAGACAGAAAGCAGAAGGAGGCGGCCGCAGCCTTTGTAGTCCCGGAGGAATGCGGAAATGTTGAAGCACTATGTCAAACTTTTTTGAAACGGGGTCAAGTCACATTCAGCCAGCGTGGGAAAGCCGAGGGGAGGGAGGGAGGGAGGCGCTGCTGCCAGGCGCGGAGCGAGGGAGGGAGGGAGCGGGGGCCGCCTGGGCCGGGGCC